ATTCCAAGTAGTCCTCATTGACCTGCTCAAACCCAAAGACTTCTGCTCTCATTTCAGTGGTAGTCATCATATGAAGACTGAGGGAAGCGACAGCTTTATTCTCAATTCCCGCTTTGTGCCTAAGGGTGTAAGTGTACTCCTGTAAAAACTCTACCCATCGGTTATGGCGTTCATTCAGTTTTTTCTGAGAGTTGATATAACGAAGAGCTTCGTGATCTGAAAAGATGGCGAACTCTTGTGGGAGCAGATAGTGTCGCCAATATCGTAGGAATTGAATCACTGCATAGAACTCTTTGTCATACGTGGAATAGCGCTGCCATATGTCATTTAATTTTTCACTGAAGTAAGCAACAGGGTGACCTTCCTGGCTCGATCTAGTGTATCAAACCATTCCGTCGTGTGGCGACGGAGCTTAGCTAGCTCGGCTTGATTTTCTCTAAGTTGTTGATTGATCGTGTTCTTTTGACCTACCAATAGATCTAAAGTCCTGTGAATTTATTCGGGGTCCAACCCTATGTCTAAGGGTGACTCAGAACGATGCAGATACAAGGAAAGAAATATGAAAACACAATCAAATGCGTTGATACTTGTAGGATGCGATTTTAGATGCTAAAACATGTAATAAAGAAACCCTAACATGCATGTAAATGCAACCATGCTCTTATACCAGATGATGTAGAACTATATGCGTAGGTTGATGTATAATTAGGAAATTACACGCTTAATGAAGAGTAAGAACAATTATTCAACTTCTAATAATTTTAAATGATAGATTGAAAACAATAAAGAGACGATTAACTTAGGCAATTGGTTACACGATAATCTTTAGGAGCACAAAATATCCAATTCAAATCATGCTTTGCATTACATTGGGGTTTTTAAAGGAAATCCCTAGATTAACAGTTAGACTAGTCACTATTAGGACCCCTCACTCACACTCTTAATAAATTTTTAGGCGGAAAAAGATTGCATAATTTTCATGATGCCATAATTGAGGAAGACGTAGAAGAAATAAGATTCGGAAGGAGTTCACGTTCGTTAGGATTTGGAAGAGAGTTGCCACTGAACAAGAGGTTGTCATTGGTCAATAACAGTTGCAAAGGAGAAGAGGATTCATTCCACATATTCTTTGACGGATTGGTCGTTATCAAGATCTATGTCGAAGAACAGAGATCAGTGAATGTCGATTAATCCTTGATCATCAAATATGAAGCTGTGATCAAACTCCGGATCGGCCATGCATGAGTGGACAACAAACTATGGGTTGTTGGAGCTTCTGGACATCAAAGGGAGATCTTCCGGATAGGAGGATAGCAGGGCGGTCTTGCTGAACTTTCTGGACAGCAATAGGACTTTTCTAGATAGCAAGTTGGTGGGTTATGGGATGCGGGGCAGCCGGTTTATGTTGCTGGAATATCTGGACAGCAACTTCAAGTTTAGCATGGTTAATTTGGGAGGAAAATAAAAGTAGGAAGTAGAGGGAAGTGTGCGTGTGTTGGGGGGGCTCTAGCAATTAGTGGAGAGAGTGGTTAGAGTTTATTTGAGTTGCCAAACATAGACTTTCAATTAAAGGAAATAGATTTAAGATAATTTTCCCAAATCCGAAATTTAATTTGGGGCAATTTATGGGAGGAATTTGAATTTGAGTCTTTCAAATAAGGAGGGAGGAAGGATGGGGGGAAGCAGTGGGGCCTTGATGGGGACTTGATTATGGAATTTAATGGGCTACTAAGTTTAGAAATTTAAGTTAGGAAAGGAGAATTAGAGTATCTCCTATTCAAAATTCAAATTGATATGAAATAAAAATCTTTCCTAACTTAATCCATATATTTTAAGAAAGTAATTTCAGATTAAAAAGATTTAAAATCTGAATTTGATCACTTTCCTAATTTATCATGTACTAAATAGGAAAGTATTGATTGAAGGGAGAGGATTGTAGAGGCAACTTGGGCCTTGGGTGGCCTATGGCTTGAGGAGGGACGAATGGTGGGGTTTGGGAGGCAGGTGGCCAGCGGTTAGGTGGGAAGGGGATGGGTGACCGACGGTCGGGGGGTGTCTGCTAGGGTTTGGGTTGTGTAGTTCGACCAAGGAAGAAAGAGGTGGAAGGGTGTAGCCGGCCTCGGGTTTGGGGTTGTGGGGGTTTTCGGCCAAGAGAGACAAGGGAGGATGGGGTGGCGATTGGGTGAGGAGAGAGAAGAGGAAGTTGGTGGAGGTGGTGGATCACGAGCCTGGACGCTTCCTGCGGCTGGTTGGTAGTACGTTGCCCTTACCTAGTGATCTCAAACATGCTCTCACAATAACTCACCAAGAACACAAGTGCTGAAATTTTAATCATAATAATCATCATCCTCTCCAAAGAAGAAGAGGGGGCTATAAATAGCCAAAATACAATAGTAAAACCAAAAGACAAAAGTCCCCCATTGGGTCACATGAACCTACTCCCTCATGTGAGGGTAAAATCAAAAAAATACAATAATAAATCAAATACAAATTATAGCTTAGAAATAGAGGGCTGTAATCATAGCCGTAGATCTCTGACTTCTTATATGGTAAACTCTCCATTGTCGGATGTCCTCATTAGTTTGTGTATCGCATGTACTATCTGGTTTGTTGCTGAATAGATGGATGTTAAAGTTTGCCCTATTTCACCTTTAAAACAAGTCATATGCTTTCAAAACAAGATTGATCTCTTAAGGAGATTTTATATATGATAAGAGCCACTGGAGTAATGGAGGACTTTTTATCACAAGAAGCATGTAGGGATTTTGATTTCGGACAAAAAAATACGGGGACACTCGAGGATCGCTGTCACATAAAGGTTATTTCTTCGTTCACATAGTTTTGATTTCACCTTTTTCAAAACTCTGAAAGGGGAAATAAAAGGAAGGTGTGGAGGAAAGGTGCGTGAATTATGAAAGGCTGTTGTCTTGCTTAGCTATTTTTTCCTCCAAGGTAACTGTCTCAATTTTTGAGGGAAGCATCACACATTCATGCAAATCTTTATTAGAGCTCGCTGAAAATTCCATATGCAGGAAATCTGTTTTTATTCATCATAATCATGCATTTATATGGTCATGGCTACTATTTATAATAGCAGGCCTTATTCCAAAATGAGAAAACGACCCCAAATTTATAAGCAATTGCCAAGGTATTCTATATGACAACTAAAAAACATTAGCCCATGCCATTTGACATAAATAAGGGAACGAATAGGTACATCCCATAACATATTTCTTATATTTAGGTGAGCTAATGCGATATTAAAATTGGTGGTGGCGTTTAAATTCTGCTGGTCATAGAATTTTGTGGTTCTGTTCTTCACAAAGACTGAAAAAGAAGGGGTACCTAGTTCATTGAACTCGGAGAGGTTTTATTGTGCAAAACCGTATCCTTGCATTTGCAAAGAGTGATGCGATGCAATCATGCGTGGATTAAGAATTGCACATTAGAGATTAATAATAGACTATTGACTTTGCATATTAACCATAAATTCTAGCTTGCTCAAGTAGAGTTCAAGAAAAACAGTGATTGATTAAGACATGGTAATTGACTACAATTGCTTAAAATCTGTAATAACTTAGTTTTCCCAAAAAAAGGAAAGTTTCTTGTAATTGATTGGAGATAATAGGCAACGTTCTTGAATTTCAAATAGGTTTTAAAATTCAATTAAGACAATTGCCTCAATTCTAGGACTCAATTCAGGAAAGTAATCAATGGTTCATGAGGAAGTTTGAAATTCAAATCCAGAATTTCACAGGGCGGCGGGATGGAGCTGCGGGGCTGCTGGCGGGATGCTGGCCGGTGGGTGGCCGGGATGTGGCCGGCGGGAGGCTGGCCGGTGGTTGGCTGGACTGAGGCCAGCGGGAGGCTGCCACCAGGGGAGGGGGATGGGCCGACAGCCTTAGTTGTTTGGAATGGGCGGCGGTAACAGCAAGGGGAGAAAAGAAATTGGAAATTTCTTGGGATTCCACGATCACGAGTTCACTAACCTCAATTGTTGTCAAGTTGATGTTCCACAATATTAACTAGTATGAAAACTAGAACTCAAGAAGAGATCTAGTTTTCTCCGGCGAACTCACTAAGAGATCTTGGAGTGAACTCACAAAGAGAACAAGAAGCAAATTTCATTTCATCAAAAACTAACTATTACAATCCATCATGCCTCATATAAAGAGGCCCAAAATAAACATAAAATAAAATGACGTAAATGCCCTCAGGGCTACATAAGCGAAATAATGCCCTCAGGGGCAAACTAGGAAAATAAAGGAAATAACATAAAATGTGAATTCATCAAAAATAGAGACTCTGGATCATGGCCGTCGATCTGCGCCTCCGGCGATCGTACACGTGTCGAAATCTGATGTCCCCATCAAAGTGGCTATTCGTATAACTAAAACTTGGGACCTCCGTGATTCTCTGGAGTCAATTTAACTACTGCTTTAGAAAAGTTGATATATTTTCAAAAGGAATGCTAGCTTATTTACTTGGTGGAGTTTATAAAAACTCTATTATACATTTTTGACACTTGTGTTTCATCCCAAACTTATCATGTTCGGTATGTGGCGCTCAAGATATCAGTGAAGAAATGGTGTAATAGTTTCCTTTATGTTTTCCCCACATGCATGAGGTACAATTACCTCTTTTGTTATTGTTGATTTTAATTAAATAAGCCGTCCATGATCGTGTAAAGCAGTAATTTGTAACATTGAGTTCACTATTATTTTAACGTGAAGGACAGTTTCTTTGGCGTAGTATAGTTATTTCTGAACTTTAATAACAATTGCTGACAAATTTACGAGGTCTATGATTCTCTTCAATTTGCAATGACAGATAAGAACCTCTAGAATTTATCATTGGATTCTGCGCTCTACTGGAATTTTTAGATGTTCCTGGGATTGAAATTTTAAAGGCATTGAGGTTTCCTTTTATTGTCGTCACTATTCTAATGTTTATCTGTATAATTTATTTTGACGGGAAGTTGTTTACTTTATTATTTCCAGACAGATGGATTGACGCTTATTTCTGAGAGTGATTGGAAGTTCTTTTGCGAAGAGTGGAATGGTTATGAAAGTATGGGCATTCGCGCGGAAATTGCTTTTAGTAACAATGCAATGAAAATAGCCGGATCTTGTGAAGGGGTTCCAATTGCTGAGGAGGAACTTCACGACATTAAAGAGGAAACAATTGAAGTGCTGGAGGAAAGAATTCCTTTTGTTATAACTGATCCAGAGGTAACCGAGCTTTCTTCAGCCTTCATGCATGTTGATTTCCATGTTAGAAATGAGATCAGATGTAATTTTTAGTTCTTTATTGATCAAGAATATTCTCTTATATATTTGATCTTCTGTTTCTTCCCTTTCCTATTTATGCTTATAATTGAAGTTTTGCTACTTTTTAAGTGCTTCCCTTTTTATCTGAAGTTGACGGCTAAGAGCGAATCTCAGAAATTTATTTCTATATGGTGATTGGAAAGGTCATATATTTCTACCTTTAATTTCAAGATGTGTCTGGCTAAATATTTTCCTGCTGTGTACATGTATCTTTTCAATAGCAATAGTTTGCTAAAATCCTTATTTTTCAAGGGACAGAGAGAACATCAAATAGGTTGAAACCTTAGGATAAAAAGAGAGCCCATCTCAAAATTACACTTTAAAAAAAAAAAAATTGTAGAGAAAAGGAGTTGGGCATCTATAACTTATCCAAATTAAACTAAGAGGGAGGGAAAAGGGGTTGTATCCATCTCCATCAAGATGACCAATTTTACAAAATTTATTAGGGCTTCCTCTTTTTCATCTCTCTATCTCTAATTTTTTAATAAAATCACATAATTTTCAATGTTAAATTTCAAGCACACAGCATATTTTATGTAACATTAATTAATTAATGCAGACGAAGAAATTATTAGAGGAGAGGAAGAGAAGTGACAAGAGAAACTAGAAGACAATATTACTAGAGAAAATAAATCAGGGATAAATTTTAGATAATTAATATTCGATTCAATCATAATCAAGTTACAATACAATGCCAGAACCATTTATATAAGCTAGGGCTTATGCTACTTGCCTAAACTACTTAGACATTAAAAAGGAAATAATGTGATATATAATATTTAAATATAATTAAAATATGATTAAATTGAATACATATTTAGAAGATGGCATGGAACTCTTAATAATCATATTTTTCTTGTAACATTCATCGGGTCCGAAAGAAACTCTTCTACAAAATTTGGAAGGTCATGGTTGTCATGGACGGGGAATTGGTTCATGCTAATACTTTCCATCAACGAGAAGTGATTCACATAGCATAAGACAGATATATGGAGGCTTTGGTGGCTTCCCTGACAAAGCATCTAACCTAACTTTGCAAGTCATTAACTCAAACCATATTTTACTAGATGGTTGTAGTGATAGCATAAACTCAATGGCAGGCTAATAAAAGGGAAGAATCAGGGAATCAAAATAAATATGAGCTGCTGGAAACAATTTTTATTTAAAATGATGAATTGCTTTTGAGATGGAAAGTAAAGCATGGACTTAATATCACAGACCTAGACTGGAGATGGAAATAGTACTAAAAACTGTGGATATCCTTCTCTGATGGCATATGAAATGCTTCTAGAATAGTAGTTAATTATGTTGGTTTAGACTTAATTACAAGTTCATCATTATGCACTATAGTGGGCTTAAGCTCGAGTACTGAATTAATTTTAGATCGATCTTTAACATTATTATTGTTTATCTCAAGTTACTCATCTTCAAAATCATGGTCATTAGAATAATATTTTTTATAGATTGATATGTTAGAATTTTGAGCAGCAAGGTCGTTGAAGTTATTGATAAAATACTGATAATTGTAGGATTCCTTTAAGTAATCTTCTAAAATTTCAAAGAATGTATTTTTTAGGAATATTTATTTAAATTAGAGTTATATCCAAGCTAATTTTCCATGTGGGGATGTTGATTATCTTGATGTAAAAATCAACTTAATAATATCAATGACTACATGGTGAATATATTTAAGCAAGTGATTGTATTTCTCATAAATGTTTTTCCAATAAGATAGGAATTTTGAGCAATCCACTTCTCTTGATTGTTTCGATGCAATGATAACATACAAAAAATTTATAAAAGTTTCAAGCCATGATTTAAGAACTCATAATACCCAAAATTAATTGTTATCATGCGGCGAAGGAAGATGATGGTGTGGTTTGTAGCATGAGGTGATGAAAGCTCTTTAAATGAGTTGTAAGACTTTAACAATCTTAATTATAGTGCATGAAGAGGTTGCTACCAAGTACAACAATAAGGGAAGGCCAATAAGCCTAGCAATGAAGTGTTTTAGAGAGGGTTGTAGGTTTTGTTGTGGGTATATCATGTGTGCGATTTGTGTGACAACCATGAGTACGACATATTTTATCTGAGTAGAGGACATTGTGGGATTTTCAAGATCCAATGTTGCAAAGTTCTGACAAAGATCTTGCAGCATGGTCGTTGATTCTAGAGTTTATTTATGCAAGGTAGGATGTGCTCCGTGGCAGGTTAGGTTGGTGGATGGTAGCATTAGTTATGTTTCAGAGATTATTAATGGGAGTTATTGCAAGCAGTGGATTATTTTAATGCGAGATAAAAGATGCATATGAACACTGAAACAACGAATGCATGCAATCAACGAGCAAGCAAGGAAAGTTCTCTTGATGCATGCAAGTGGAGATTGTAAACAAGTGGCACTGAAGAGGTGGCAGGTAGACATGTTGTGCATGAGACAAGCAAAGTAGTGCATTATAATGTAAGAGTAGGGACCCTACTAAATAGCAGTGGAAGTGGAATTTGTAGCGCATGCAGTAGAGAGTCGGTTTGGTTGCACTTTATGGGAAGAAGAGGAAGATAAAGTTGTGGGAGAGTATCAGTTCAGGATAGCGAGTCTGGTTCAAGTCTAACCCAAAATTGACATGATACAAATATGTTTGACCTAAACTCGCCTAACTTGAACCCAACCCATTTAACACATTTATTATATGGATCATGTATTTTTTAAGGATTAACATGATCCATTCAACCCAAACATGGCAAATTTAACCCAAATATTATCCATTTAACTCAAACTCAAATAGTAACTTTGTCAATTTTGGATTTCAAGGCCAACCCAAATTGAACCCATAACTTAGTAGGCTCAAATTTTGAGACCTAAACACCTGTCAAAATTTATAAACCTAGATTTTTCAAGTCGAGTCTGTGTCGGATTATCATGTCAGGCCATTTATTAACACCTCTAGTTGTAGGGCATGTGATTACAGATCTGAGGGTGTAATCCAAATGTAGAAGCAGTTTTGGATCATGAATCATGCAGAGATGTAGTTGGGCCACAATGTCACAGTGTGTGCGTGACAAGTAGGTTGGGCATGTGATGGGGGAAATAGGGTACATGCGAATGGTGGCAGGAGTAGTTATGAGATCATCTATGGGTCAATGGTTTGTTGCATTGGATTGTTGAGTGTTGTAGTAGTTTGTTGGGTTTGCTGGAAGCCCTTAATAAGGTTAAGATCTTGATTAGGGATTAAACATGATATATAACAAGAATCAACTCCAATAGTAAATGATGTAGTGGTGTCAATTCAGGTCAGCATGTCAGGTTTAGGTCTAATCCAAAGTTGACTCGATCTAGATAAACTTGACTCAAACTTGACATGTCTATCATATGAGTCAAAATGTTTGGCCCAAACAAAACTCAAGCTTTAACTGCCTAACCCAAATCCGACACATTTGATCCATTTATTTTATATATTATGCAATCTTTTCTTTTTAAATTGCCACGATCTGTTTAATCAAAATATGACTTGTTTAATCATAACTCGATTTGTTTAACCTCGAATGATAGTTGGGTCAATTTAAAGTCAATTTTGGGTTTTTGTGGTCAACCCAAGCCTGATCCAAAAATTAATCAAGTCACGATTTCATGCTCAAACCTGACCTAAATTATAATATAGTCTACTTGAAATTAGATTTTTTTAGTCGGATTCAGGTTGAATTATCAAGTTGGGTTATTTATTGACACCCTAAAATGTTATGATTAAAGTCGAAGTTACTGGCACAGATTAGATAATTTAACCTACCGTCCGACCTTTGTTCCCGCCTCGCCTGCGCGAGCTCACCGGGCCGGGTCGTGACAAGGTGAGAGTGAGAGAGAGAGAGAGAGTTTAGTGAATCAATATTCAATTCAATAATAATAAAGTTCTAATGCAATATTTGATCACCTTATATAGTTTAGAGTTTATGCTGCTATCCTTAACTATTTAAGACATTAAAAGAAGGAAATATGATGCCCTTATTATATTTTATTAATTATTTGAAACAATTAAAACATATTTAAATTAAGCGAACACAAATTTATAAGCTATTATGGAATGACTCCTATTGATCATACTTGTCTAGCATCGTTGACCTTTCCTTTTTAGTGTAGTTTCCCCATCATGTCTAGCCCTCTGTTAGTGATAGTGAGAATGTTGACAACGACAACTTAATAGCTGCCATTGGGCATATAATAATGAAATGAGATGAGATTAGATGTTCTTATAATTTTCACCTGAAAAAGCTATTAAGCGCACAACACCAACCTTCCATTTTAAGCATAAAAGTGTATCCTCATGCTTCTAAAGCTCTCCTATGCTAGGAATGGTGAGGGTGGTTCCAATGATGTTGAAAGCGTGCATCATTAGTGATTGGTAATTGAGGTGATACCCATGATGATTTTAAATGTTTTCAGCATTTTATTCTTTCATTTCTTTGAGATAATCATTTTGACATGTATTTGAGAGTATTGGTGACATCTATTCATGCTAATGTCTAAAGCCTACTTGATGGGTGACATCCGTTTGCTTTGCAACACCATTGCTCAACTTTTTTCGGAAGTTAATCAACTATTATTTGATCATGTACACGAGTTCCATGGAGATGAACTTGGAGAGAGTATCATTTAGAGGAAACGGGATTACCTAGGGCCCTAGGTTGGCCCTCATTATTCAACAACAACAATTTACAATAAGATCCTTGAAATGTTTTTCCAAGACGATTCACCATTTCCTATCAAATATGTAATGGTGCATAATCTTTTTTTATATTATACTTATTTCCCTTTTTAGATTATTCTAGTTTATAGGATTTATAAGAAAGAAAAATTCACTTCAATCAGTGAGAAGGTAGATTTTTATCTAAGTGCATTATTCTCCTAATTT